GCTTTGGAGTCATATCTGGGCTTGAGTCCTGGGTTGGCCGCTTAGACCCACTAGCAGCAGTGAGGCGGTGGAAACGCCACGGGGAGCATGGGGTGGCGTGGTGCATAGGCAAGGGGCACACAGGCCAGTTGTGATGCTGCGGCAGCACCCCCCCATCTGCTGCCTGCCTGTGTGTCTACGGGAGTCCCCTCCTCAGAGAGTAGAAAGCCTCACCTCCCCGAGGGGCCTGGGGCCAGGATTTGGGAAGGATGGAAGCCCTGTGGGACAAGGGTACCCATAGGAGAAAGCGTGTTAATTTTCGGGAGAAGGCTGGGATCTGGGGCACCCAAGGAAATCCATTCTTGGTGTCAGAAAACTTTGGATTCTCTAAGCCCCAGTCCCAGGGAGGAAGAAGGGGTGGGGGAAGAGAGAGCGAGCGAGTGAGAGAGAGAGAGAAAGGCAGAGGGGGGGTGGTAAGAGCAGGAGAGGGTGAGCACACAGCTCTGTAATGGAAACTTGGCACCCGGCCTCCACTCCTTTCCTTCCTTAGTGCATGTGGCTTGAGTCTCGGGTGGAGAACGTCTTCCCCTTTCAGCAGGCACCCCGCATGATCTCCATGGCCCACTCCTGTCCTCCCCTTCTCAGAGCCTGCAGTTATGCACCCTGCCTCTGCCGGTGACGCATGACATGTGAGCCTCCTGCCTCCCTCCTCATGCGCCCCCTCCCCCCGGACTAATTAGGCCAACATGCAACTTCCAGGGCCTGGCAGATGAGGAGCCAAGAATGCGGTGGACAGGTGCCAAGTGTTTTTGTTGACATTGCTCAAGTGCAGCTTTGTGGAGCAGCCTCTGCTGGAGCAGAGAAATCCAAGGAAGTCTGAGATGAGTGAAGGGAGAGCAGGGAGAAACCCAAGTGGGTGCCTCTTCCAATCCCCTCTGCCTTCCCCATGGCCCACCCTCTGCCCCTCCTCCTAAATCCAACAATAGAGCCCTCCAAGTCATAACCCATGGGACCGGCTTAGCCATAAGAAGGCTACACTGAACAGAGCGCCATGCATTCAGTGGGGTTTTTGGAACCGTTTTCTTTTCTGTTTGTGGTGGCTTCATGCGGTATATGCCTCGCTGCAGTTCCTGATCATTTCTGAGGAAACGAACTTCCTGGAAGTAGGTTTAGGGAAGACTGTCTTCACCCCTAAACTGTTAAAAGGTTCTGCTGCATTGTTGATCTGCCTCACTGTAGCTGAATAATGCAACCAGATGGACTGCATCCTCCCCAGTGATCTACCATGAACGTGGCCATTGGGTCACCACACCTGGGTTCAGATCCCCATTCTGCCCCTCTCATTGCTTGCCGTGTGACCTTGGGTGAGTCTTTGAACCTCTTCATGCTTTGGTTTCCTTATTTGCAAATGGAGCTAATAGTTCAAAATGAGACTGCTGTTAAACATGGATGGAGTGGAAAGTTCTTCGCACGTAATAGACACTCAATGAATGGGAGCCATAATAGTTATTAAATGGTAGTTGGTGTGGTTGGCTATGCATTGGCTCTGATTTTAGGCATATCTCTTCTACTCTGGTTTATTTACTCCAGAGGTAGGTCGGCCCAGCACCAACTGCCCCTGCCTGCCTCACCAGGATTTTGTGAGGATGAATGGAATGGGGTATAATATTGTTACACTTGGTTCTCAGTGGGGAAGGAAGGAAGTGAATGCAGTACTTGCTATCATCACTGTGATTTTCTCAGACTCTGGTCTCTGCATTAGTAGTTCAGTGGTTAGTGGTCAACTATATTTTTGTTGAGATAAAAATTTGTAGGTTTTGGAATCCAGAGGTGCTGCCTTAATAGTCTCTAATGCCTGAAGATATTGAATCATTATGTAAAAAAAAATCCTCTAATTTTCTGCTACAATAGCTGGCTTTATTTTTATATCTCTTGATTGGTATCAGCTTTTCTTTCAGAATTACAGAACCATGGAAACTTGGCCTGAGAGAGAACTTTGGAAGTCATTGGAAGGGACACTTGCTTCTTTGCAAATCTTTGGAGGCTTCCTAAACATTCAGATTGCAGTACCACAAAGCACTTTTCTCTGACCCCGATTATGAGAACAGCAGAGTGGCCAATCTGTTGGTCCATTGCGCGACTCTACCTTTGGTCTTATGCAGGCTGGGAAATGCCATTGCTGCCCCACCTGTATCGCTTCATTCTTGCCTCTTCAGTGCTCACTGACGCCGTTTAAATTTTAGCACCTGCATCTCATTGTCTAAGGCCTTTTCCTGGGCGTTAGAGCCCACCTGGGACACCCCCATGCCAGGTGAGAGGTGCCAGGGAATTCATGGCCCCTGGGAATAGCCTTCAACCAGTGGCAGACCAGGAATAGGTGGATACATTCTTAAGTTTGCTTACCCCTGAGTATCTGAGATACCGTCCACCCTGACCCCCAGAGCTTTCCAGGGAGGCCAAGCTCTAGTTGACTCATTTTGGTGACTGGCTTCAAGTGTACCATCTGTTGGCTGGTTCCCCTTCCCCGTCCCATGTTCCTGTTCCCCTACAGGTGCTTCCTGGGATCACCCCCACCCCCCCCATAGGTAACACCTGTGTTCAAATCCTCATTTCCAGGGCTGCTGTGGAAACCCAGCCTGAGACAAACGGTTGTCTTTCTCCACACTTTTGTAGATCGTTTGTGACAATGCGGTGCTATACTTACATTTCAGGGCTGCTTGTTGGATTTTCAGGCCACTGACCTTTTTATTTCCTCATGAGTTTTTGAGATTTTTTTTCTCCGCTTGTCACCGTTCTTAATCCTAAGAATTAACTGTTGAGGTTAACCAGACGCCACAAATGCCTTGCTTTCACCTTGAATTATCTCTGGTACTGTTCCCTCAGTTATGACTAAACTGATGTATGTGGCCACCATGTAGGCTTTTGCATTTCAGAATCTAAACTGATTGTTTATCCTAGTTAGGCTCCACATTCTACATTTGTGTGTGTGTGCTGTGTGTGTGTGTGTGTGTGTGTGTGTGTGAGATATGCCTAAAATAGCTCTTCTGGCTAATACGTGTAAGTTGTAATGAGATACCTTGATAATTTTATATTTGACGGCAGATGCCGTTTGACTGAGGAAGACCTCAGTGCATGAGCTGCTGCAGTTACATGTGTCCTGTGGCTTAGGTGAGATTCCCACAAGCACTGTGATTTCCAGAAACTTCCATGAGTGTTATGTTGTCCATACCCAAAGTGGGAATAGTTATTTCAACACTTACTTACTGAGCACCTCCTCTGAGCCAGGAGTGATTTGGTGTTAGAGAGACAATAGTGGACAAAGTGGACAACATCCCTGCTCCTTCTTTCTTTCCCAAACCGTGTTGTGAGGTTCAAATTCAACAATGAAGGTGGAATCATTTGGGAAACTAAAATCACCATGGAAATAGAGGAATGGGTATGATGACCTTCAGCTCTTCATTGCCCATTTCAGAACACCACACTGATGTGGCTGGATGGGGTGCACCCTCTGTCCTTTCGTGAGGGCTACTCAGCCCATGAATTAGGCCCTTATCTTGTACTTAGATCCATTTTCTGCCCACAGCAAGTCTGGACACTCAAGAAGTGTCCCCTGCCTAATGCCACATCTTTCTTTAGTGCTAAGCTGCCAGAAAGACCATCTTTGCTTGCTGTTTCCATCTCCCAGTGGCCCTCTGATGTCCAGCTCTGTTGTTTCTTGGCCTTTGACTTACTTGATTTGTCTATAGTGGTCAAGGCCATTGGCTGCTCCTGAAATTCCCTTTCTGCTAACCTTGCCTTATGCCATTTCCCATCCTCTTTCCCTTCCTTTCATGATCCACTGTTGAATTCTTTCAGTCTACTAGCTCTCTGAAGGAATGTTGAGTTCTCCACGACGTCTTCTCTTTGGTCCCCTCTGCCCTTCTGGAAGACCCCATGCATCATGTCTCATGCTCTTCCCTATTTGCTTATGACCCTCCTGATGCTCTCTGTAGCTTAGCTCACTCCCCTGAGGTATCTCCACCCACATGCACACAGGTGGCTTACCTCCCTTTCGGTGCTCCACAGACACTTCATGCTCAACAAGTCCTTAATGGAATTTGCTCCATTCTCCCCTCCAACGTGCCCTTCATCTTTGTTTTTTCTCCTGGCACATCGGTCCCTACAGTCATCTCAGCTGGAGACCTCAGCACTGTTAACCTGCTCATCCTGTAATGCATTCAAGTGGTTCAGTGTTTTCACATTTGTGTTTTCATCTCTTGTTTATGGAAGTCTTGTTATGTGGCATTCACTGGCCCAGACTCTAGGGATGTTGACATGGTGTCCTAGCTTGGGCAACCCTCCAGAAGCAGCTCCTGAGAAAGTGTTCAGTTGTGGGAGCTTTATTTGGGAGGAGTAGATGCTGGTGGGCTAGAGACAGTCATGCTGATTTCATGGACCTAATTGTGCCCATCTCTTCCCAAATCCGTGTTTAGTGAGGTCACATGGGTCATGCTGAAATTGGCCATGATGAGAATATTTACACTATGAAAATTGGCCAGTGGTTCCAAACCAGGACTTTTCCCCCAAGAGAGTTGGTTGTTAAACATTTATCAGCGTGTTACTGGGAGTGAGGAATTAAGGCAGGGAAGGACAGCAGTTCATAAATTGTGCTTTATCAGGAGAGTTACACTGTAGACAGCTGGAGCATAATCCCAGGGGAGAAAATTCTGTAATCCAGTTTAGAATACACATCTCACAGTCATCTTGCTGGAGTGGGTAAGGTAGTAATACACCAGTCCCTACTAGTCAGTGGCTGAGGGTGGTCTCTGTTGGGCCCAGCAGGATCCAGCAGCCAGAGGAAGCCCTCAGGCAGTCAGGGGCAGCATGGATGGAGTATAATGATAAGGCCCAAGGTGGGAGGGATAGGCTCATCATTGAGCAAATGGTGGCTGATGAAGGCACTGGACATCCAACATTGGGATAGGCCAAAACCCAGCTATTAGTCATGTGTGGCTATGATCTTTTTCTTCCCAGACCTCGACTTCATGGACCTCCTAGGGGAAGACCGACAGTGGACGGTGGGGAGGAAGTTAATGCAGGTGAACGACACTCTGACTTCAGAAGATGCAGGACTCCGAAGCAGTAAGAACTGCACTGAACCAGGTAACAGACACAGCTGCGCTGTGGGCAGTGGCTGCCATTTTGTCGGGTTATGGCTGAGGAAGAGCTGGATGCCATGCTTTCCCTTTGAGTTCTAACCCAGAGAGCTCTCAGGGACATTTAGGGCAGGTGTCTAACAAACTGAAAGGTGACATTCCCAGGGGATTCTACCTCTGTATTCTTTTTCTAGGCCATGGGGGAAAAGGTAAGTCAGTCAGTGATCCTCCTGATTCTGTGCTGATATCAAATGTGGAGGCTGGTGCTCTCAAGTGGGAAACTGAGTTGGGAGCAGGATGGGTGAGGATGTTCTCTGGCCACATCTTTGCTTTAATCCCTGGAATCGTCTCTGGCTGGTTTTTAAGCAGGAGCCTTGTTTCTGTCATAGTAAAGACACAGGGGTTGAACCACATCCTTAGCTGTGTTGTTGGTCTTCTTGGAAGAAGTGAATATTCATTTATCAGCTGTCATATTTGATATCTGTTGTGTCTTTCCTCAGAAAGATATGGAACGTTTTATCTCCAACGTATTGAACTTGAAAGGAAAGCAAACACAAAGGGAATGAAGGGGACTTGGAATTGTCAGAACTCAGCTCACCAGATCTCAGGAAAGGCGAGCACCCTCTGGATGGATAAGGGCCTTGCTAGTTTAGACCAGGGGTCAGCAAGCTTGTCTCACAAATGGCCAGACAGGAAATATTTTAGCCTTTGCAGGACATATGCCATGTCTATAGTTTTTGTTTTTTTAAAATATTGTTTTATAACCCTTTACACATTTAAAAACCATTCTTAGCTCACAGACCATACAGAACAGTCACTGGGAGGTATTAGGCCTGTGGCTCTACTTTGCCAACCCCTACTTGGGCTATTTGGCTCTCTGGGACCTCCCTTCCCTGCGTGATGGGAACTTGGGCCCCATGCATGCTCCCTCTGAGGGGTCAGAAGCTCAACCATGTGTTGATCCCATATCCAAAGGCCAGTCTCATTTTTAGTGTCACGCTGGAAAGATGTAAAGTCTTCATTTCAGCCCAAAGAACTTTAGACCTTTGAGAACAGAGGGTGTTCTGTGAAGCTGTGCTTCTACCTTTTTGGGGGGAAAGGTGAGTAGAGGTGTCCTTCACCACCATACTGAGAATTTTAATAGTCCATTCCCAAGCAGAGCTGGAAAGAATTAATAGATTACCAGCAACCCCCCACCCAAAACCCACAACAACCCACAATGCTACATAATCTATATTCCTCAAGCTGGAGAATTCAGGAGTTACTGTGGCTATTATTAAATGCTCTGAAGGAACACGCTTGAAGATTAGTGAAGCACATGGCTGCTCTATGAGCTAGAAGCAGAAACGGGTATGATGGGTTTGAGTTCCACACTGAGCCAACAGAGCCCTTTGTAGAGAGATATGCCAAGAACCCTTGTTGCTGATCTGGTCATGTAGCCAAATATTTTTCAGTATCTTCTTATAACCAAGAGGCAGGTGGTGAGCGAGATGTCAGAAGACTGGAAATACAGCATTAGGGAGGCCAGTCGGCACCTTTGGTATACCTTTGGTACGGGAAAGAATGGAGTCACGCGCAGTACAGTGACTGGCTCCATGCTGAGGTCCGCTACCATGCTCAGGGCCAATGGTGATGGAAGGAGCTTCTGTTCCCTGTTGAGGGATGTATTTTGGGGGAGGTGGTGCTGTCTCTGTGAGTGGCATTGCTCATTGTATCTAGAAGTGTCTTTCTCAGAGTGACAGGTATAGAAGAATAAAGTACATTAAAAGCCATCGCAAGAGAGGAAAAATGACTCAGCTCCCAGGTAGAAAGGAAGATGTCTAGGTTTTTAAAAAGAGCACCCGTCCAGCCCCTGCTGGTGTTGACAGGGAGGACACAGGGGGAGAGAGGAGGAAGGGCTTCTAGAGGGCAGCGGGAGGATTGAACAAGAGCTCATAATGCTGCTTAGAGCTGTCCAGAAAGAATAAAGGCCTAGAAGGAACATTCTCAATGTCTTCATTTGGGGGCTCTGAGAACTGGGCTTGATTTCTGGGGCCCTTGACTCTGAGCCAAAGGCTACAAAGAAGGTGATCATGCCTGAAACAGGGGGGGTCTTTTTTAAGTCCTGGCACATCAAGGGCCTACCTGGAGTCTCTGTTCTTCAAGCCTGCTTTGCCCACCCCAAGCTGCAGTGACCATTCTGTTTGTGGAGTGTTTTTTTGTATGTCTCTAACTGTGCTGTCCAATATGGACACTCAGTGGTGACTTAAATTCAAATTAATTCAAGTTAAATACATTAAAAATTCAGATTTTCAACTGTGCTAGCTACATATCAAATACCTAATAGCTGTGTGTGGCTCATGGCTACCATATTGGAGAGCACAGATCATAGCCCATTTCTATCTATCATCACAGAAAGTTCTATTGGACAGGCAGATCTAGAACTTCATTTGTCTTTGGACATATATCCCGTCTTTCCAGCTTAGTTACAAGCACCTCAAGGATATAAAGTGGACATATAGATTTGAGAGCCCCATCTCTTCCTGGGTTTGGGGGTCACCATCCCCTGGATTTGAATCCCAGCTTAGAAGCTCTGGGCTTTGGGCCAAATAGGCTTTCTGAGCCTCTGTCTGCCTCTGTCTGCTTCTGTGAGAAATTGAGGTAATCATTTTGACCTTTCATGACTGATGTGAGAATTGGTAATGAAGTCATGAAGTATGACTGTGTGTGGTAGTTCTGTAATAAGAGCTCACTCATGAAGTTCTGTCTGCTGGGGGCAGCCATCTGTCCATTACAGGTGGGTCATGGAACTACTTTCTCCAGTCCCTCCTCACAGAAATGGGCACGTTTGGCCCATCTGGTTCTGTCAATAGGCCATGTTCTCAGGTGGCCCAGGTCTGAGCAGTCAGGAAGCTGCACTGAAAGGTTCCAGCACTATTTTCTAATACAGGCAAGCTTGAATGATCTCGCCACGGTAATGAGCACGGCATCTCTGAGGAATGCTCTTTCTACAAGAATGTGGTCAAAACATGACCACAGACACACATGACCCCCCAGTAGCCTTGGTGCCCTTTCCAGAATGCTACTGGAAGTCTTCTCAGGCTGCATGGAACAGATACTTTACACAAAAGTGTTGAGAGCTACAGCACTCATAAGGTCTGGATTTGGAATTTAAATTTAGTAGTATTCATCTTCCCTATCTCTGACTTACTGTGGGAGGGCAGGACTGAGCTGGACGGAGCCAAGGCCCAGTTGCCCAGGTTTCCTTAAGAGGTCAGAGCAGCCCTGTAGGCAGTGAATATTGCTTGTACTGGTTTAATGCAGTAGTGTCTGCTCTCGAAAGTCTTCAGTGTAGGGGCTAGGAAGGGAGCCATGTGGTTTCTGGACCACCTCCCTTCTGCTTTGTGATGATGTCAGGAGAACGAGAGTGTACTTCCAAAGATGATGCATTAGCCTTCCCTCTGTGCTCAGAGGGGTGATTATTTACTCAGGAACCTGAGCATTTGGGGTGCCAGTGTGTGCCGTGGCCATGTGAATAATGGCGCCAGGGTTGTCGGCAGGACTTAATTTGGCTCTTGGCATAATGTACACCTAGTGCTACCTCGTCATGTCGCTGAGCTTCTCAGACTGTGTCCTTGGAACCCCTGGCTTTAGGTGCTGTTAGAGTAAGTAGATTCCGAGCCTGGAGATGGAATGACCTCCATTCTGGTTGTATTCTCTGTTTAGGATAGGGGGCTGGTTTGCTTCTCAGATGTCAATTTCCTCATCTATGAGATAGACCTGCACCTAGTTTATCCTTTCTACTCCTTCCACTGTACAAATCCAGTAATACCACAACATTTCAAGAAGAGAGATTCATGAAAACCTCCACCCCAAGATGCCCCACTCCACTTTCCCAAATAACTTCTTGGCATTTGCAAAATTCCATGTCATACCTCAGCCCCTCCTTGGACCCTCTTTCCTCTTTCCCTCCCCTGCCCCACCCCCGATCTCTCTCTTTGCCTTCCTCTGAAAACCAGTTGCCCAGAGGACCTGCCCAGGTGACGATCAGGATGCAGGGTGCCCAATATAGTGTCAGTGCTGTCTTCGGTTGGTGTGGTAACATGAAGTTGACACGTTCTTCATATGGCAACTGCCGCTTTAAAAACATGTTGTTTTGCAGTATTTTGGATTTTTTTTTAAATGGCATTTTTCCCTTGCCCCTCCAAGACATGGTTTTGGTGGAAAATGGTAATTTTTTGTACCTCCAGAACTGCATGAAAAAGACTAAGCTCTGGGCTCCAATTTTTCTGCAATTGTTCCAGCCCTCTGTGAATTTTTAAGGTTGTTTTCTTAGCCTGACACTCCCGATTTCATCTAGAGCCTGAAAACCTATTGTTTTTTGGCAAATAAGACTTAAAACTGTTTACTCAGATGACCTATTAAGTGAAATTTAACTTTGAATAAATTTTATCCATGGAAAATTAAGTTAGCTAAATGTAATATTGAGAATGGTGGACAACTGTAGCAGAAATGAACTCTTTGTAGTATTTATTTATACACTTTGCAGAATTTTATTTATACACTTTGCAGTCTGTCTTCAGAAAAATCTATCATCTTTTGGTTTTTAGTTCTTTGATGTTTTAAGGAAATGAGCTTTTCCTCAGAGTGCCTCCTTCAAATAAACTTTGGAAGAAAGAGCTATTTAAAATGATAGCCTTTGGTGTGGGCTTAACTCTGAGATCACTGGATGTTCTTTTGAGAAAGGGCTCATCTTCCTCTCTCTGCCTGGCTTAATTGGGTCTAAGATCCTTGGGCCTGTGCTGTAGGCACCTATGGGGCATGCCAGGAGTGTTTACTCGATCAGGTGTCTACTGGAATATCCTGAAAGCATGTGATCTGAGAGTCAAATATGAATTGTGGTAGAAGAGGGAAGCCAGAGGTCCATATAAGAGAAGCAATATGGGTAAGTTCAAGGGGTGAGTTATGTCCACAGATCAGCAGTCAGCACAGACTGATTCAGGTTGCAGGTCGTGAACAAAGTTAAGT